ATCAATACTCTTCAAAACTGTCAAGGTCGAGGAATAAAATGAAAGAGACGGACTATCACAGATTGGATGAGAATGAGGACCAAATGCAATATGCGTATCCCAGAAAGACTCCTAAAACAGGAAAAGGACATAAAGAAGGAAAACCACTGACATCTGAATAAAGTCTGTAATTAAGAGTATTGCAAGAATGTCAGGTTTTCAATGATGCAAATATAACATGGTTACGTAAGATATTAACATTGGAGGAACCTAGGTTAAGAATATATGGAAATTCTCTGCACTATATTTGCAGCATTCCATAAATCTAAAGTTATTCCAAATTTTAAAGTTTTTTTTTTTTTTTAAAGAAACTCTAAAATCAGAAAGATGACAGGGATACCTACTAAGACAACCTACAGCTTAATGAGAGATGGAAAAGAAAGAGTAGAGAAACTGAAAGGGAGAAAGGAATCTTTTTTTCACAAATCATGTGATTTTTTTTTTGCTTAAATCCAAAACAGTTCCCAGAATAATTACGAAATAAATAAAAGAGCTTATAGCAAGTGTGCAGGATATAAGATCAGTACAAAAAAAATCAACTGTATTTCTACCAGCAATATACAAATAGAATATATTTTTCAGGAAGGGGATTTTAGCAAGTCTATAAAGAATATAGAAATAAATCTAAATAATTATGCATAACATCTCTAAAAGGAACATTTGAAAAATGTATAGATGATAAAGAAGATTCCAATAAGTGGAGAAACAAAAGTTCTCCAGGATAGAAAGTTATTTCTATAAAGATGTCAACTCTCATCAAAATGATTTATATATCCAATGCTATCACAATAAAAATCACAACAGGAGTTTTTTTTTTTATTTTATTTTTTTTAATTTTTTTTTTAACGTTTATTTATTTTTGAGACAGAGAGAGACAGAGCATGAACGGGGGAGGGTCACAGAGAGAGGGAGACACAGAATCTGAAACAGGCTCCAGGCTCTGAGCTGTCAGCACAGAGCCCGACGCGGGGCTCGAACCCACCGACCGCGAGATCGTGACCTGAGCCGAAGTCGGGCGCTTAACCGACCAAGCCACCCAGGCACCCCCACAACAGGAGTTTTCAAGGAACTTGGCAACCTATTTCTAAAAATATATTAATGATAAATAGCACGGATGTTCCAAAAGAGAAGAAACAAGAGGTGAGACTTCCCTATCACAGAGCTTCTACATGCTACATAATTAAGACAGAATCATTTTGGTACATAGATGGACACAACTGAGCAAAGGAAGAGAGCCCCAGGTACCAGAACAAATCATATGCAGAAATCTGATTACAAATCTACTGGCTCTGCGTATCCCTGGGGGAAAGAGTGATTATTTAGTACATGATTCGGGGACACTACTGGATACCCTAATGAAAAACCTCACACCAGAGACAAAAATAATTACAGATGAATCAAAGACTTAAATAACAAAAGCAAAATTTAGGGGTGCCTGGGTGCCTCAGTCGGTTGAGCATCTGACTTTGGCTCAGGTCACGATCTCACAGTTCATGGGTTCGAGCCCCATGTCGGGCTCTGTGCTGACAGCTCAGAGCCTGGAGCCTGCTTCGGATTCTGTGTCTCCCTCTCTCTCTTTCCCTCCCCTGCTCACACTCTCTCTCTCTCTCTCTCAAAAATAAAATAATCATAATATTTTTAAAAAAGAAAAGCAAAATTTAAATAGCCAAGCAGTCTACTAAGAACCGTATAAAAGATATGAACAGACATTTCACAGAAAAGTAAATACGAGTGGGCAATAATAATATAAAAATTTATCAACCTTGGGGCGCCTGGGTGGCGCAGTCGGTTAAGAGTCCGACTTCAGCCAGGTCACGATCTCGCGGTCCGTGAGTTCGAGCCCCGCGTCAGGCTCTGGGCTGATGGCTCAGAGCCTGGAGCCTGTTTCCGATTCTGTGTCTCCCTCTCTCTCTGCCCCTCCCCCATTCATGCTTTGTCTCTCTCTGTCCCAAAAAATAAATAAACGTTGAAAAAAAAATTTTTTTTTAAAATTTATCAACCTCATTAGTAATCAGGAAACAAAAATAAAAATTAATATTGAGGTACAATTTTATACTTTCCATACTACCAAAAATGAAAAGAATGACAACCAAAAGGTTGTTGAGAATGCGGTGTAACAGAAATATTTGCATATTGTTGGTAGAAATATAAATTGGTCATTTTAAAAATCAACTTAACTCTACCTACTAGCATTGAAAATGTAAATGCATTAAGACAGCAATGTGGTTCTTAGATATAGACTCAGAATTTTTTTTTCTTGCACTTTCAGACAAGGAGAACAAGCCAAACATTCATCAAGTAGAAAAGACCAAAAACGTTCACCATACACCAGAATACTATGCATCAAGGAAAACAAATGATCTAAGCTATCTGCGTCAACATGAACTGACGTTAAAATATCACATTTTTCAGTTTAAATACAGTATTATCCCATTGATCTATATTTCAAACACTGGCAAAAAAAAAAATAACCAACTCACTCTTTATAGGAAAGTACATAGAGAAATGGACAATCGTAAAATTATAGAGAAAATCAGTAGACGGGGAAAAAAACGCTTAGAACAATGATTATATTCACAGGGACAAGAAGAAGGTGTAATTAGGGAGGAACAAGGAAAAGGAGGTTCAGAATTATTGAAAGTGTCACTTTTCTTAAGTTGAGCCTAATAATGAGTAAAGCTCAGTCACAAGTTAGGCGAGGCATGCTGGATGATGGTTTAATTTTTATTACTTAACTACTAATATACGTCACACACACATGCATATAATGCCTCTCCTGTAACACAACCTCCCAGACGTGCAGGTGTTAAGTGGCCCGTTTGGCGTTGACCTGTAGGAACAGGAACTAGGGAACGTGGCACAAGAAGGGCTAACATTCTGGCTACTGCTGTTGATGTCTCTGACCCAGAAGACTCCTGTCTTTGGTCAGCATGCACAAAACTTGTAGATTCACGTGCTAAGATTTTCCAAGGAGAGCAAAATCTTAAAGCCATCATAATTTTTAACAAGGCTATGGAATCCAGCATATGAAAAGAAGCCAGGAGGCGCAGTCTAGCATGGTGAAAAACTATCTACATGTGTGTGAGGAAAAATGGATCTTAGCATTTGTTTAGGCATAAAACATGAATGGTATCTAGGGCTGCTACTTTCCTTCTCTGGTCTGTTTCCTTATCCATAAAATGAAGGGTTGAATAACAGTCTCTAAAGGCAGCTAGAATAGCTTCCAGTTCTCAAAGTCAAAGATTACAGATGTAAGAGAAAAAAAAAAAATAACATGAAATGCATAGTCACAGAAGAAATGTGAAAAAAAGTCATTACACAAATGTTAAAGATACAAACTGTGATGACAGCAAGTACAAAGTTTATTTCATCTGCATTGAAATATTTATCTGTAATATACCATAAAGTGAAAATTCTCTTTTAACTTGTATATCAAAGAGAAAACAACCCCACAAAGAAGCTCAAGTAAAATATTTTCATGATATACAAATGCCATTGAAGTGAAAAGTCTTCATAAGACCACCCAACCTTGACAAGTGTATTCACATAGGATTTAAAGAGTAATATTTGTATGACATACAGTAGGTGGTCTTTTGCGTGGGTGAAAGACTCCAGCTGACTTTGGTTCATGAATGCCTCTAGGAGAATTATGATGAATTTCTACCTGGCAGACCATAATGTTAGTCTAAACTTCTAATTCTGCTTTAAGAATTGCATTTCTTCTTTGTGACGAAATATCCAAATTTCTTTAATCCTGTGTGTGCGTGTAAGCACCCATATGTGTATTTAGGTAGCATGCACCCATGGGCACTGCTTTTTCTTTTAAATACTTATTGTTTATTTTATTGACTTGGCTATCGGGAAGAGAAAATGTAAAATTTTCAGCACTAATCATAACTTAGGTTTTCTGGCACAACTACATTCCTTTATTTGGCTTTTCTTTCTCTACGCGTCATGTCAAATTGTTTTATTCTATATGTACTTTGTGCCATAAGTTACTTCAAACCATTTTCAGTAGATGAACCAATGAATGCATATGTACAGTATGTGTCTCCTGATTTTAAATGAAACATAGCTTAAATAAGGTAAATTTCTTGGATCATCAGAAAAACATGAGAAAAACAGAACAAAAGATGCCATTTGAAATCACATCATTATGCTGGAGAGGATGTGGAGAAACGGGAACCCTCTTACACTGTTGGTGGGAATGCAAACTGGTGCAGCCGCTCTGGAAAACAGTGTGGAGGTTCCTCAAAAAATTAAAATAGATTCCAATTCTGTCTAAAAGAGTAGCACTGTTGAAGGAATTTACCCAAGGATACAGGAGTACAGACATAGATATATTTTAGTAATATTGAAAAACATAGGATAGAGACTAGGAATAGAGGTTAGAGAGATAGTTTTATAGGAGGACGCCACAACTAGACTAATTGGACTGGATGAATGAGATAAGATTATTTGAGATGAGTATATTGGGCTGGTGGATTATAGGTATATAGGTAATGTGAGAAAGAAATGTGTATGTTACAGACACATGGAAAGAGACAATAGATGAACTGGAGAAGAAGATGGAGAGTTTTGAAAGTGGAAGGAATACTAAAGACATGAGGAGAAATAAGATACCTGGGCATGTTTTCTCACCTTATGTGGATCCCGAGAAACTTAACAGAAACCCATGGGGAGTGGTTGTTATGTTAGAGTGGGAGAGAGCCAAAGCATAAGAGACTCTAAAAACTGAGAACAAAACTGAGGGTTGATGGGGGGTGGGAGGAGGGGAGAGGGTGACAGTATTGAAGAGGGCATCTTTGGGATGAGCACTGGGTGTTGTATGGAAACCAATTTGACAGTAAATTTCATATATTGAAAAAAATAAAATAAAATAACATCATTAAAATGAAGCAACTTGAAAAACTATAACAGTCGTTACACTCTGTTTGAATTTCAAGAATATGGTAACTTACTTGCATATGTCATCTTCTGGGTCTTCAAGCCCAAATCTCTCATCAAATGTAAGCTGTATCCAAACATTTTCTTCTACTGCTACTAATCTCCATACCAAGACCATATTTCTTGGATAAGTATGAGGAAACCTCGGGCTGTGAATACTTCCATTAGTAGACACAGTAATAATTCTCTCATGCTGGGGATCTTGTACTCCTAAAGCAAAAATAGAGGCATAGACACACATTTAGAACAGACATCTCGAAAACTGCAGGTTTCAAAATAAATGTTTGCTCTATCATCCATATTTTAACCCAAACATGTGTTGGGTATGTCTCACACAACAGAAACCAAGTATCACTCTTTTCAGAACTCACCCAGAAAAAAAAACAATTATTATTATTTTTTATTTTTCTAATATTCATTTTTGAGACAGAGAGAGACAGAGTGCAAGGAGGGCAGGAGCAGAGAGAGAGGGGGACACAAAATCCGAAGCAGGCTCCAGGGCCTGAGCTATCAGCATGGAGCCTGATGTGGGGCTCAAACTCACAAACTGCGAGATCATGACCTGAGCCAAGATTGGACACTTAACCGACTGAGCCACCCAGGCACCCCAAAAAGGAACTATTTTAACAATATTGAATAAAAACCTCAGTACTTTTATACTTGAAAGAACATAACACATTAGTCTTAATTATTGAAATGTCAAACTACCAACTCATGGATTCCTGAAATCATAACAAAGCCGACTTAAGGCCCTCATCCTCTAAGAACTTATCAAATATGAGTCATATTAAAAAGAAACTTGCATATAATTCTATGTTTAAAAATACAAAGTGTGGGGCACGTGGGTGGCTCAGTGGGTTGAGTGTCCGACTTCGGCTCGGGTCATGATCTCACAGCTTGTGGATTCGAGCCCTGCTTCAGACTCTGTGCTGACGGCTCAGAACCTGGATCCTGCTTTGGATTCTGTGTCTCCCTCTCTCTCTTCCCCTCCCCCACTCATGCTCCATCTCTCTCTGTCTCAAAAATAAAATTAAAAAAAAATGTTTTTAAATACAAATAGTGAATTTGCCCCCATTCTTCAACAGTGATTGTAGCAACTGTTCATTGAGTATTTATGTTACTCAAATTACATTATTTCACATTGATAAAATGCAATTTAAGAATACTTTTCTTAGAAATTTCTTGAATTTAAAAGACTGAATATCAAGGGTCATGAATTAGCTGGAAGATTTTGAGGTTAAAGAATAACCTGTCTTATTGCTAAAAAAAAAACAAAAACAAAATAACTTTAGTAAGTTGAAGTTATGATTCTTCAAGCAGCTTTTTCATTCTCTTAAACTTGGCTATTTCAACAATCAGTCTGGTAAGTATTATTTTATATGGTCAGGGTTGGAAGACAGGTTTAAGACCAATATAAGTTCTTTGAATATATACCAGTGTGCATTATGAAGAAAAATCATATTAGTAAATATGTGTTAGTTGCCACAGAATTTTTAAATTAAATCATTTAATGTCACCATTCTTCCTATTCAGAAACATGTTCCCTCTTATTGGATGCTAATATTTAATACTGCTATTGGCTATATTAACTTGTATGAAATAATCAATACTTCTTTTATGCACATAATTTAGCACCAATCTATCTCCTGAGAACATAGATGGATCTATCAAGTTAGATGAATTCTTTTCTATTCTGACAAATTTTCTTTTAAAAATGATGAAAACAGGGGTGCCTGGGAGGCTCAGTCGGTTGAGCATCCGACTTCAGCTCAGGTCATGATCTCGCGGTCTGTGAGTTCAAACCCCGCATCAGGCTCTGTGCTGACGGCTCAGAGCCCAGAGCCTGTTTCAGATTCTGTGTCTCCCTCTCTCTCTCCCCTCCCCCACTCATGCTCCGTCTCTCTCTCTCTCTCTCTCTAGTCAAAAATAAATAAATATCAAAAAAAATTTCTTAAATAAATAAAAATCATGAAAATGTAGGGGCGCCTGGGTGGCTCAGTCGGTTGAGCGTCAGACTTTGGCTCAGGTCATGATCTCATGGTTCGTGAGTTTAAGCCCCGCATCGGGCTCTGTGCTGACAGCTTCAGAGCCTGGAGCCTGCTTCAGATTCTGTGTCTCCCTCTCTCTCTGCCCCGCCCCTGCTCATGCTCTGTCTCTGTCTCTCAAGAAGTGAATGGCTTCACTTAGATTGGCTACAATTTATTATTTGCCCCATTTTGTCTAAAAAAATGCCTGATATAAACCAAGGCACTCATTACAAATATAGCAGTGTATGATTTTTCATATACAATCTAGAAAACTGAATAGCTACAAAAAGATCTGAATTCTATTTTGATAATCTCAGTCACAAAAGATCATTGCCAAAATGTATACACTTAAATGGTGTTTACATCTTTTTTTTTCTATATAATTCACATTTCCACGACACTCTAATTAAACATAATTTAAAGACCAAACATCTAGGTCTCCTCTGTGGTCAAAGAATAGTAAACTTCCTTGTAAGTTACTGCTCCCAAAAACTCATCTCTAAATGCAGTGAGGTTTGCCACCAAACACATAGGATTTACACCGGACTATCAAACTTTCATGTGAATCTCAAACAACCAGGGCTATAATCAGAAAAAAAAAAAAAAAAGCAACACACATTAAGTTCTACTAAATTAGGAGTCTACATCTGTAGTTTCATTGTTTAAAAAATAATCTTTCTAAACATATAACTTTACTAGTATTTTAAGGAAAAGACAAGTATATATTCTATGACTATTTTATTGAACATGTACGATCCACTGGACAGTATACTCAAACAAAAGTAGCAAGGAAATAAAACCAATGTTTTTAGCTAAATCTCTAAAGTATTTACAACACACTCCTGGCAATGTATTCTAAAGAGGAATCAATCTTGGTTCATCTTAGATAGTGAATTTAGCATGAAAAATGAAAATATATATGAACACTAAATTTACAAATTTATAATTATATACCCTTTCACATTATCTTGCCCAGCCCCTCTTAAGGAAAAATTATTGAAAGCCAAAGTGAATCAAAAATAGAAAAAAAAGGAAGGAGATAATAGTGTAAATACTAATAAAACACTAATTGGAAAAGATATCTGCTTCTCCTCATGTTCGCTGCAGCATTGTTTACAATAGCCAAGACATGGAAACAACTTAATAGTCCCCTGATGGGTGAATGGAGAAAGGAAATGTGCTTTATATACACAATAGAATATTAGCCATAAAAAGGAAAAGAAACTGCAATTTGCAACAACATGGATGGACCTTGAGGGCATTATAATAAAATAAGTCAGACAGAGAAAGATACTTTATGATCTCATATGTGGAATGTTAGAAAAAAAAACAAAACAAAAAAGGATCTCATAGATACAGAGAACAGATTGGTGATCACCAGAGGTAGAGTGGAGGGTGGGTGAAATGGGTGAAGGGGGGGGTGAGGTCAAAAGGCACAAACGTCCAGTTACAAAATAAATCATGGGATGTAATGTAATATACAACATGGTGACTACAGGTAATAATACTATGCTGTATATTTATAATTTGCTAAGAGTGTAAATCTAGTAAGTTCTTATCACACACACACACACACACGCGCGCGCACACACACAAATTTTAACTATGTATGATAATGGATGTGACCTAGACTTATTGTGGCTATCATTTTGCAATGTATACAGGTATCATATCATTATACTGTGCACCTGGAACTAATATAATATTATATATCAATTATACCTCAATAAAAATAATAATGTAAATACTGTAAAATGGTTGACTACATATGTACATATATTTCAATGATATATAATCATATATCTATATTATTCAATTATTTTAGCATTAAGTCAAAGCAATTTCATAATATTTGCCATGCATTTCATAGTATTAGTCCCCTTAAAGACATGTTTACAATGACGGAAAGAGGGTAAGAATAAGAAAAACGTAACAAGCAATAAAAATCATAATACTTAAAAATGTTTTAAAAAGAACTGAAGAAAAGAGGTTTCTAGATAATATCTAAATAATGTGAAACTCATAATGGGTAACATTTTACCTAATGTAAACAACAAATGTCTCCAATCTTGGTTAGTTTTGGAGTTCTGAAGAAATCTGTTCCTGTTTCATATAGGCAACTGTAGAGACAGGTCACCTGAAAACTGGTAGACTTCCCAGACATCCTGCGAAATTTCTGATGCGTTTACTTCCAAATGTACATTATTCTGAAATTACGTTTTTTTTTACAAAAATGTTTCTCTAATAGTTGCGTCTCTTTCCAAATCCTTACTTGATAAATACACATATTTATTGGTCTTATTTGTGCTTTGCTCTGTTCAGTTTCTTTTCTTTCTTTTTTCTTTTTTTTTTTGTCTATAATAATCCTTCTTTATCCTATTCTTGTTATTTTGTTTATATAGATATCTCTGCTTTTGCTCTCATTAACTCTCAATTAACAAACTTCAATTTTAACAATAGTCAAACTCATATGATACACATACACATGTGCACAGTTTTACTGACTCCCTTAGCTGGTGCCTTTTTGCCTAGAAAACCCAGAATAATCCCATCCTAATCTTACCTGATTCTGTATAGAGAAGACAGGCTTGAGCACCATAATGCAAACAAATCTCTTTCCATAAGTTCCAACGTATATAGAAGTACCCTATTTTTACGTTTAATATTTAAAATTCTGACTATTCATACGAAAGTACAATGATATACTACATAGGCTCAATCTACTGTTTCCCATAACTTAAAAACAACAGCAAAATAAAACAAAGGCAATCAACAGCGCTGCCTCCCTCGACTGTTTACAGATTATAATACATTTGCACTAAGGAAAAAGAAAATAATGGTTTTAAGTAAACCATAAAACAAATATAATTATTTAAGATATGCTCCATTGAGATTCTTGAATTTATCCCAGAAGATTATCATTTTATTCCCCAAGGGAATGAATAGTCAAAAAACTTACATATTAGAAACCTCTTATGTTTCATGCTCTGTTCCAGGTGACTGGGATATCACAAACGAAACAAAGCCTTGTCCTCTTAATGTGACAACTTTTAGGACTATACATTAATGCTATTCCTAAGCTAGGTATAGTAGTGAACTAACATTCAGCTACCAAAACATTCAGATGTTACCTCTTTCAGGATTCCATCTTTGACTTCCACTATACATTCCTTTAGGACTGCC